AGTCCAAAAGGCATGACATTATATTCAAAATGCCCGTACCTGGTTCGAAACGCAGTCTTCCATTCATCTCCTTCTTTGATCCGTACTAGATTATATGCTCCTCTTAGATCTATTTTTGTATAGATCTTAGCTTGATTTAACTGGTCAAGGAGTCCTGATATCAAAGGTAATGGATACATGTTCTTGATTGTGATCTTGTTGAGTCCTCGATAGTCAACACACATTCGTAAAGATCCATCTTTTTTCTTTACGAATAGAATTGGAGCTCCTGCTGGAGATTTTGAATGGCGTATGAAATTCTTCGCTAAATTTTCGTCAATATATGTCTTGAGTTCAGCCAACTCATCTTGCGATAAACTGTAAATTGGTCCAAATGGTGGCTGAGTTCCTTCCTTGAGATCGATTGAACAATCGTATGGGCGATGCTCAGGAAGAATATCTGCATTCTTTTTCTCAAAAACGTCTTGATAATCCTGATATTGACTTGGAATGCCACTTGAAGTCTTTACGCTTTCAGAAATAGGTGCAGCATAAATAGCAAAAGTTGATCCTTCTTTTGCTGCGTGTATAAATGCTTTTGCACCTATAGGTGCGAGTTTTACTATACTAGACTCATGGTTTTTTACTTGGTTAATAGAACTGTTACTAATGCTCTGAGGAAAATCAAGTTTACGAGAAATCCAATCTATTCGAGGATTATACTTTTCTAACCATGATAAGCCTAAAATTACTTGATTAGAGGGAGATCTAATTATATTAAAAATTACGCAACTACTATGACCATTTATTACTACATCTACAGGAAGTGTTTCGTGAGTTACATCTCCAGAAGACAACGGACGACCATCTATGACTTCTACGTGTACAGGTTTAGTTTTTTGTATTAATGATATTCTATGACATCTAGCAAATTCTTCATCTAAAAAACAAGATGAGGCTCCTGAATCTACCAAGGCAGAGGCTTTGTAATTATTAGGTCCTAAACGCACATCTATTATAAAACAAGGAGATGGTTCTGAGGAGAGGATAGGACCTTTATTAGAAGTTGTACAAGATTCCAGCCGCACGGTCCCTATTGTAGCTGGACGTACTCGTTTTCCGACATACTGTCTTCTTTGACAGCCGTACTCCTCATTTTGTAGTTACGTCGCTTCTTTGGACAATGTTGAGCAGTGTGCTTAGGTTCTCCACAATATAAGCACAATCCTTCTTGTCGACGACGAGACTTTTCTTGCTCAGTAAGAGGTTTGAAACGTACCGCATCAATTTGCATATCCTCTACTTCTGAAGGTATGTGTTGAGGAGACGTCGGTGTTGCCATTGAATTGTAGTAACGTTGAGGCCCACTTGTGCGACTCTCGGATCGAAATTCAAAAAGTCGATTGTCGCACTTCACAGCAAAGTCAATTGCTTGACTCAATGTTTGAGGATCAGGTAAATTAAGCATCAATTTCTTTACCTCATATTGTAATCCGTAGAGAAATTGACTCACAAGTGCGGCATCATCCCACTTGATATCAGTTGCAAGTTGTCGAAATTGCGAAGCATATAATGTTACTGATCGATTGCCTTGTCGCAAAATACGGATCTTGTTGGTTGCAACACGAATTGCATCATGTTCTCCAAACATGGATCGAAACTCCGCCAAAAAAGCCTCCAGATTATCCAATATTGGATCTCGTCGTTCAAGAAAAGATGAAAACCATGACAATGCTGAACCTGAAAGAAGTGTACCAATGAATCTTACTTGTGACCCTGGAGTTGGATAGCTCTGGGGTTGAAGTTCAATCACTAGTTGGACCTGATTGATGAATCCTCGAAACTTGGATCTGGTACCATCAAACTTCTCGGACAAGGCAACTCTCGGTTCTCTAACACTCGAAGGGTGTTCCATTCTGGGAGAAGGGACATGGTTTGGTGCAGATGTTGAAGCAGCCCCAATCATCTCTATATCTTCACTTCCTACCATTCTTGTTGCTCCTTGTGGTGGTAAATTGAGTTGATGCATCGCAAGCATTAACTCCCTCAATTGTTCTTGCATCTGTGCCATTGCACTCTTCATTTCAACAAGCTCTGCCATAGTAGCACTTAGAAAAGAGAAGATGCCTAATAATGCTCAAAACAAATAGAAGAGAGGAATTGATAACAAAAAAAATACTAAGAACAATATCAGTTTAAAAGAGGGTAATCCGCAACTTCTAATGCGCTTATGTCTTATCAAGAAAAAGGGGTAATCCACTCTTAATCAAGAAAAGACAAAGCTCTGATATTGTAAGTGTACTCTTGTCAATCTGTCAAGGACAAGAACTCGATGAAAGCTAAAGAGTAAGTGAGACTTTTCTCAAAAAAGAAATAGGACAAAATAGAAATATGTATATTAAGAAAGAAACTGGAATGGCTATTGCCAAAATACAAGAAAACTAGAGACCCTTGAAACTAGACTAGAAGCAAGAAAGGAGTTGACAAGAGTGAAGAGGGCTTCACTCTTGCCTCTATATATACTATCTAACTAGAAGCCACGTGGCGATGTTCTATAAGACCTCCAATATATGTTGACTTTCTAGGCCACATGCCTTTGCTTGCAAGGCAAGTTTTCTATGGATGGACCACGTAGTTAGCTTGTTCTTTAAGCTTCCAACATGCGTGGCACATGGCTAACTTGTTGACCAAGTTTCTAACCTAAAAGTCAACTATAGACTCCTATAAAGTCAAAGCAGCGTCTATGAAGCTTCTAAGAAGCTTCTCTAGAAGATATTACACAATTAACCTACTTTTACATACTTTTATCTATTCATATAGGTAATTATATGTATGTCCGTGACACCATCTCTAATGTTATGTTTTTTGATAGGATGTAGATTCAAAGAGTTGTTATGTGTCAATTACTACTTAAGTTAGAAACAAATATTATCATATCTTCTTGAATTGGGCATGAATTAACACTATTGATTTCAATATCTGTATGGAAGACAAGTATGGTAAGTAGATAAAAATCTCTAAGTGCCATTTTTCATTCCATATAGATCCAAACTTTAAGATCTTCCATATCCATCCATTGATATTGAGATTTATTAAAGTAAAAAGAGTTGTTCTTAGGAAAAAATTCTATAAGGGCCAAAACATGATAGATGGCACTTTTAGTTTGAAGATTCTACGATTGATGTATCTAATGTAATGAGTCTTAACTTTGTAAATAGAGAGCTTTGTTGCCTACTATAAGAGCTCATGCATAGTCCATTTGCAATTGTTTCCAACAACTTTGCCAAACATTCTTTATTATTTGAAGTTTGCTAATTGGCAAGGTGGTCATAATTCCTTATATTTTGCCAAAAAGAGCACTAAGGTTTTGTTTTTGACAATTGGAGTTAAACACATGTATAATCAATCATATCAAAAGTTGTTTCTTGACATCTATAAGGATCAAGGAAAATTAAAGGAGGTCCCAAACTTGGCTTCAAATAGGCTGGAAGAAACTAAGCGTTTCTTACTCGGAGTATGGGCCATGGATCCTTTGTTTAACGATGGCTTCTCCACTCTTCCCTTCTTGCCTACTGCTTGTTATTCTAGGCTCTCGGTAGGGGGTGTGTTACGGTGCTTGGGCAGAATAATTGTTGGATTGTCTTAGAGGTGCCCTAGAGGCTCATCCCACTCTGATTTTTCTAGCTCCGTCGCCAGTAGTTCTGTCGCAAGAGAATTGGAGCTCTAGTTCAATGTTGCTGCTGGTGTAGGAGGGGAAGGAGGAGAAGCTGATCAAGGTGAGTTTTTGGCGGGTTTTTTTTTTGTGATTAGTTTTTTGGTTTGGGTTTGCACGGGCATTGGTCGGAATCATGCTCAAGCTTAAGGCAAGAGCTACACTGCCAAGGTATATCCTTGTACTCTAATGTCACCTTGAATTCCTCATGAGTGATAGGAACTGGGATGATAATGGAGGAGGGGATAGATTTAACGTCGAAAACTAGTATACAGATTCGCGGTGTAGAAGATTGTTTTAAATACTGTGAGGGCTTCCTTAGCTCTTGCTTTTGTTACAAAAGTCAAGATAAAATAACCTCTTTGTAACATGCGGATCCAGATGGCTGTCATGGAGGGATCAATCAAGTTGACATTAACCCTATCTCATAGTTTGGTAATGGATGGGTGCTTAGTTGGAGCAAATCCAATAAGCGCTAATCGAAACAGGGTGTGTGCATCTTCGGCAATGATTGTGAGGGCATCAAATGACAGTGAAGGTCAACTTAAGGCCGGACAAAAAATGTAGCCTTGACGGCCTTGGGTGTTTTTGACCGGAGCGACGTTTTTTTCACACCTACTGTTTTGATTTTCATGTGATTCACATATTGCAAATTTCTGAACCTGATTTGCGCAATTGAACAATTCAATCGCAAACTTCGAAGTAATAACACTTAAATTTTAAATTTTAAATTATTATTATTATTATTATTATTTTTGAAATATGGGGGAGGGATCTAAAATCACGGGGTGCGTGGGGATAGAGTTGGCACGTCCGCAAGGACAAAACCCGCGGAAAGGCTTATAAGGGCACCCCACATGCGAACCCCGTTACCACACAAAACCAGGAGAAGAGAGAGCTGGGCTCCCCAAAACGGGTAGCCCCGCAACAACTGGCCCGCGTCTTTACAGATGGCCACCTGCCTTTCCTACTTTTATAACGTCCCCCTCCTCCTCCTCCTCCTCCTCCTCATGGGAGCCCGACGCGTACCCGACTTCCTCGGGGGAATTCCCATATCGGGAACAGAGGGTTCACTGGTGGTACCTTTCCCGGCCCCACGAACACTCCCTCCCCCGCCCAGCTTCCCCCGGACCCGCTCCCGCCCGACTCACGACTCTGACAGCGACCAACCTGCGGTGAGTGCGACTGCAGGGCGGGGACGACGACGAATTGGAATTCAGAATGATGGATGAATATGTGTATATATAGATGAATGTTTTGATGGATGGATGGGTGGGGGATTGATTGAGCTCACAATGCTGCTCCGATCCATGCGCAGTTAGTACCACGTCTTGCTGCAAGCTCGTAAGTTCATTCACCATCAGGGGAGTCTATAGCAGAATTCTTCTACTGTTCTTGTACAGCTTGTGGCCTTATTTTGTTTCTTTTTTATTCGTTTCTTTATTCGTTTTTTAAAATTTTCTTGTTGTTGTTGTTGTGTGCTCTTCTCTCGATCGAGAGTCTGGACGGAGTCGTAGAAGGGGAATCATTGAGAGTTGAAGTTGCACGGGCACGGGAAGATCACCGAGAGTGACATTTCAGAATAATGCCTGTGTGTTCCTAGTGTGGATTCGAAGCTTCGGTTTAAGACCAGGAAATGATGGTGGTGTTGTGGACGTGTTGAAGGCGATTCGTATCTGAGCGATCCGTGGTTTTCATCATTTCCGACGATTGAGCAGATGTTGATGTTATTTGCGTGTGTGTGTGTGTGCGGGTGAAAGGCGTAGCGAGTGCGTGATGCAAGGGTACGTTTCCTACTCCAGCGAAGGCTTCATAGCATGAGGTGCATTGGTTGGTGGCGTGCTTGCTTTGGTAGTGATTTCTCGAGTGGTTTGGATCAGCAGAGCCTGGAATCTGGCTAGTTTTTAGGTGGGGAGGTGGATTCGGATAGGAATGTGGAAAGGGAAGAGGATTGCCTGGTTATTTGATGGTGTTGTTGGTGTTGTTGTTGTTGGCAGGATGTGGAAAGCTTTTATTCACTTATTTTTTCGAGTGAACTACCTAGAGATTGTGGATTCGAATCGGAGACCGGATTGTATTGTGTTATTTTATTTAGAAGGCTCTAGTTTGTACGTTCTCTGAGCGCAGAATGAGGAGAAGAATATTATGCGTGCGGCATTTTGCGAGATAAGAAGACTTCAATATAGGAGGATCTGCTTTGCGCCAATTCTTTCAGGCCAGTAAGAACTTTCTGTATACTTTACTACCCTGTACAATGCACGTTTTGGGCTTGCGAAGCATCATATGCATCCCTCAGTGAATGATGACAAGCAAAGGAGTATCTACGGTTTCCTAAGGGCCACTACTTTCACTGCTTCTTGCTCGCTACACCTGCAACAATACGTCACTTTCCGACAGGAGTGGGTAGATCGGAGAGCTACTGCGCGACATTGGATTTCGACAATGAAGGGAAATAGTCTGGCGATCTTTGTGGTAGTTTAAGCGTGATTGGATTTGGGGATAATGCTGTGCACCGTAATATGAATTGCCCACAAATCAAGACACTGACTAGGCAGGTTTCATGAGGCTCAATGGATGTAGAGATAGTGGTCGTCTTTCGTCCAACTTTGGCCTTATATCTATCCACTCCCTCACGCGGTGACGTGCAGCTAACTGCAGAATGGTGAGAACCTATGAAATGGTGGATATGGAATTGGAAGTTCGATCAACTGTTTTCTCCCACTGAAACCTCTCTACGAAGGAATACCAAAATTGGACGGATTTTGAGGTGCATGGTTTTAGGATACATGAATGCAGAAGCTAGTCTTATGAAGTACCATCAGACATGGATATTCAAAGATGAAAAGAATGTGTTGGATAGAAGTATTTGGTGTTTTCATGGCAAGTTGAGCAGTAGAAGCCAATACTCAAACATAGGACCCTTGCTTTGGTCATCTTGGTACATATTTTAGCTTCTAATTGAGCTTCTTCCTGAGAGGAACCGGCATTCTTTCAATTGGACGTTTGCATAGCGCTCTGTGGGTACGGGAGCCTTACTAGTCTCGTAAATATTACTAAACGATCAAAGACCCAGCAGGGACAGTGAAATTTAGTAGCGTTCACTGGGCTATCTCCCCAGGATTCATGTGTTCAAGCGTCTGTCGCAATGCGCAGCAATCTCTGCAGTCTTGCAGGGTTGCTGCCTCTGCTGTTGTTGGCAGCAACTCTTGGAAGCTTTGGTTGTGGTGAGTGGCTTTTATTCTGAATGTTAACATCCTCATCGGTCCCGAAAAGGAATGCGTTGGAGTTAATAGCTCGATGAAGCTGAAAGCTACAATTCCATGATGTAGTTTTTGTGTTCGTCTCTGTTTTTTAAAGAGTACATGTCTAACCATTACCTTGTATCTGTCGTGAAGATGTGCCGGACGAAACAACAGGATACCGGTTAGGTCACCCATGCAAGAACCATTCAAGATTAGAAACAGTGCTATCTTCTCGCCGAAGTATATGGGTTAGAAAACTCTCCCTAAGAGACTCTTCTTTACTTCGCTTTGCTAAAAGACGGCCTTCTCCTACGTCCTCTAAAACAGCCAACGAGCAGAATTCTCCTGCTGAATCCATTCCTTCAACAGCTCCGTCTGGTCCAAGTGGTTCTCCTTTGGCATCTGCATTGGTTACTCCACCTGGAGATGACACATCTTTGGGGAGTTCTCACAATAATACAAAAGTATCACCTTCACAAACCCCTGCAGCAGGTGAGTGTCCACTCGATTCTGTAATTCCTTTTAAGCTCGAACCTGGTGTTCTTTATCGCCTTTCCTTAAACCGAAACTTCTACATCGTCAGTTGCTTTTGGCTTGGTCTTCCTGTACATCTTGTTACTGTTTCTGTCTTCCGTCGTATTACACTTTCATTTTCTTCCGGACGTTTTCTGGAGTTTCGTAACCTGGAATCAATTATTGAGCCAGTGTCAAGGTAACCTTACAAGTATGTGCGAATTCCGAAAGAATTTTCAGAAAAAGTTATATTGCTTCAACAGATTGCCGCCAAATTTGTCCAGATGGCTACACATACACACCACGAGGTTCGCCATCATGTAGCTGTGTCATTCCTATGCACGCACAATTTCGGCTTGGAATCAAGTTGGAGCAACTTTTTCCTCTGGTGTCTGAGCTGGCCACGGAGCTGGCTGATGGATTGTTCTTACAAACTAGTCAAATCCGCATTGTAGGAGCCAATGCTGTTGAACCAAACCAGGATGAGACAGACGTGACTGTAGATTTTGTGCCGTTGGATTCTGAGTTCGGTAATACCACAGCACAACTCCTTGCCTCACGCTTGTGGAGTGGACAAGTTCCACTGGACGAGACAATTTTTGGAAACTACCTCGTCATTTTCGTTCGTTACCCAGGTAATTATTACACACTCGATTTCTACTCTGACGCATAGAAGGGTTCCGAGGTCAGCTTCAAATGCTTCCAGCATTGTAAAATGGTCCACGTCTTGACTTGCAACAATTTTTACTATGACGCTGATGCATTACTATCTTTTTGTTTTGTGTAGGTCTTCCTCCTCCTCCACCTTCTCAGATTCCTGGAAATAATGATTCTCCGCTAGGTCCTGGTAACCAGCTTCCATCTGGAGTGGATCCGAACAGTAAACATCATAAGCTCAGCACGGGCATTATCCTTGTAATTGTTTTGGCAACGGCTATGGGCGTTTTGTCATTTGTTTGTTTTGTGTGGCTCATTCTCCTACGCCGCAGTTTGCATAAAAAATCTTCATCCTCGGTTGTTAGCCCTTTACATGCTTTTTTCAACCCTAAACCCGAAGGACTGATCCAATTGCGAATGAACGCGTATTTCAACTCTAAACCTGAAGGTGTGCATCTGATCCAGTTGAGAAAGTATTGTCAGCCGTGTTTCCTTTTTTTCCTCAATTTCAAGTCGTTTATTGATGCTTTACAAGGCTGTAAAATGTTTTCCATTATTGTTCACTTGATTATTAGTTTGTTGCGCTGTTTTTCGCAGTCAGTCCATCAGACATTATAATGCTCAGCCTCACATTCTGCGATTTCATCTGGAGTGATTCATAGATACTCTGGTTCACGATCATCACCAATTCACGCACTTAGTTGTGTTGCATGCATGGCTTCCAATTTGTTGAGCAAGTCATTTTAAACACTCTGTATTCTTTGCTACAGGCTCATTACTGTCAGAAAGTATGGCAAGCTCTACAATTTCTTATCCATCTAACGTGGAAAACTATACCGGGACTGCCAAGACCTTCACTTTATCGGAAATGGAAAGGGCAACAGATTATTTCAGACCCAGTAATGTAATTGGCGAAGGGGGCTTTGGACGAGTTTACCAAGGGGTGTTGGACAGTGGTATTGAAGTGGCTGTTAAGGTACTAACAAGGGATGACCACCAGGGTGGTCGCGAATTTATTGCAGAGGTGGAAATGTTGGGCAGATTACATCATCGGAACCTTGTGAGGTTAATTGGTATCTGCACCGAGCAAATTCGATGCTTGGTTTATGAACTCATAACGAATGGGAGTGTGGAATCTCATTTGCATGGTATGTAATTCTGTTCACTGAATAACTTGTCAGAATCTTCTTCGATGATTAGAGTCAAGTGTGAGTCCGAACCGTCTGAAATACCAAGAAATTCTGTACATTTGTACGCCGGGGAAGAATAATGAAGACGAGCTAATTCGTCGTTAACTACGTTTTTTTATTTTTATTTTTATTATTGTAGATGCATTTTTAATATTTTACTACCAGTGTGTGGACTTCATAAACGTACCATCCAAAGTGTAATCTACTTTCTACCTTCCATAGTGATTTCAGGGCAGTTTTTATCTACAGGTTGAGAATATGCAGCAAACTGTGTCTAATTAAGTTACATTTGAACCCATAATCTGCAGGTTTAGACAAATACACAGCTCCTCTCAACTGGGAGGCACGTGTCAAAATTGCTCTGGGATCTGCACGCGGGCTGGCATACCTACATGAGGATTCCCAGCCCAGGGTGATTCATAGGGACTTTAAAGGAAGCAACATTCTACTTGAAGATGACTACACTCCTAAAGTATCTGATTTTGGCCTGGCGAAATCGGCAGCCGAGGGTGGCAAGGAGCATATATCTACTCGAGTGATGGGCACGTTCGGGTAAGCTTCTCTTATTGCTACCGAACATGTGAAGTGCGAATCAAGTCCTACAGCCAATTTAAGCTCTTTTGTTACTACTGAGATCTTCTACGTTACCAATTTTACTGTACACAATTATTGTAGTGATTCAGTCTCCTGGTTTCAGTCCCAGGAAATCACAAGTACTCCAGTTCTTAATTCTCAAATTAAATTGCTTAATGCTCTTAAGCTGCCTTTGAGACATCCTTCTTGCAAGAATCATATTCTTCGAAATTTATGTTCCTCGAGTCATCTCTGGTGTAAAAGTTGAGTTGTTAAACTATTTTCAAGTTTCATTGAGGAGAATGCCCTCTTTCACCTTCACATCTGAATATTTAGGATGTATTTTGACCAGACTGGTAAGGTTGTGTCTTGATTATTGACTTACGGTAGTAGTTGATTTCAACTGCAGGTATGTGGCCCCGGAGTACGCTATGACAGGGCATTTACTTGTGAAGAGTGATGTTTATAGTTATGGAGTGGTGCTTCTGGAGCTCCTTTCTGGACGAAAACCTGTTGACATGTCTCAACCACCTGGGCAAGAAAATCTAGTCACATGGGCACGCCCCCTTCTTACAAGCAAGGACGGGATTGAGCAGCTTGCTGACCCTTACCTTGGAAGCAACTTTCCATTTGACAACTTTGCTAAAGTGGCTGCAATAGCCTCAATGTGTGTTCAACCGGAAGTGTCTAATCGACCGTTTATGGGTGAGGTCGTTCAGGCCTTGAAACTTGTGTGCAGTGAATTAGAATCTAGTGATGTTGGGAGCATGAGAGGAACAGTCTCGTCACATTCTGACTTGTTAGACACACGGAATCCTCAGTTCCTCCATGACGCCTCGTTTATAAGCATTGATTATGACTCAGGACCACTCGAGTCCTTGGATTTTGAACAGCGAAAGCCTTTCTCTGCTTCAGCTGTTGTGGCTGGTTCTGAACGGTTCTTTCGACAACTTTCAGGTTCATTAAGACGTTACATTGCTTCTCCTCCACCTAAAGCCTCTTCACTACCGAGAGGTTCATGGTTTGGACTGGAACATCCAAATCCCGGAAGCATTAGCGATCACAGGGGTCCTAAATATTGTGATCCTTAACATAGGTTTTTGCTTAGTTTCGTAGTGGCAGTTGCGGAAACAATATAGCAGTCAAATTAGTCCTGTTGGCTTCCGCTGTGTCAGCTTGTATATTGAGTTAGGTGTGTCCCATTTATGAGCCCTAACTTAGGGCTTTCGTGATCCTGTATCGTTCTCACATTTCCATGTCGTGCTCGGGTGTACATGTTCAAGTAGTGCTCTCAGGAAATGAATTGCGTAAGTGTTGAATCTATCATTTGACATTTCGTTCACAGGTTTATGAAGCTCATGTTAAAATGATTTGGTGGGTTTGTGTCCCAAGACGGCAGAAGCTTGACTAATGAATGTAGGTACAGACCTCCGAATGAGTATGCCGCGAACAAGAGCAGTTGGGTTAAGTGCACAGGTCGATGTGGGTACATGCTGTTTATTTTCAGAACTGCTCGTTCAGTAGGAAGATGAATCATCTGGTATCTGTACTCATTAGTTGATTGCAGTGTGACTACCTTGCAGTTTGAGTGGATTGTCACATTTCTCAAGGGTTCTCTTTCCCCTTAACTTGTTTCCTTTTTAAGTTGTGCCAAAGACTCTTGACTTTTTTTCTTTTCCCACATGAAAGATGATGACTCTATATGAGGGCTTTTCAAAGTCTTGGGTTTCATTCATACTTAATGAGATGGCTAGCCTAGTTTTTCTTTTTCTGTTTCATTTTCTAATTTTTCGAATGTAGTGGTGTTGACTCTTTGGTCATTTACAGATAAGTATTGTCATCTGAAAAGGATGTTCACTGTATAACATATATATATATATATATATATACAACAAATTCGCAATGCTAAATGTCTTCTTTTTTGTTTGAAAACACTTATAAATAAAGGTGGGTCGATTTTTTAAGACTTAAAAAAATTAACTTGTTACTATAAACTCACACTTATCAACACACATCCATTAATATCTTGTTCAGCTTTCTTTCCTTTTCTATTTACAAATTCTTAGAATATTGATCTGATTATTTTTCCAAAATAATAAAAATATAACAATAATGACAAGAAATCATGTCCAAACATTTAACTATATGAAGGATGTTTATCATCATTTTTTAAATTGTGAAAAGATAAATTTCCAAAAATAGTTTTGAACCAAAACTCAGCTACATGTACCCACCTTTAAAAATAAAAAAACACGCAAAAAAACTTTTAACACATTTACAAAATTAATTATACCTTGGAAAAATATTACACAATGTTTCAAGATTTCAAAACTGGTAAACTGGTTTTTTGGGTTGGCAAGCTAATTCTGCTTTTTTATTTGCAAAATATTGTTTCTTAACAACATCAAGTTCTTTCATGGATGTGTCAATTTCCGTTTTATATTCATCAACTTGAATTTGATTCCTTGCAAGCTCCGAGGTTATGTATGACAAGTGTTTCATCTTATCTTGCAATTTACGTTTGTAAACATCAACTTGTTTTGCTACCTCAATACCTGGTTGGGATGCTGAAATTTTACACAATTCAATGTAAAGTTTTTCTTTTTCTCGTATAAGTATATCTTTCTCAATCACTTCTTCCGTTTTTGAGGTGAGTTTTTTTTGAAGCAATTGAATTTTTATAATTAATTCATAAGAATGCGGATCTGTACCTTCAAGTTTTCTCCACCTATGCACATTAAGAGGGTTTTCAAGCTCCTCACTTAATGCTTTAACTTTTGTCTTTTCTTGCACCAATTGTTGACTCAAATTGTGAACCTCTTTCCTTAATATTACAATATTCTTACACGAACCCGTGAGCATTGTGTACTCACGTTTTAGATTATGAAGTTTAAATTTGTATTGACGAAGTTCAGAAAGCCGATTGCAATAATCAATGTGGCCTTTATGGATACTTGACTCTTGTATTCGGATCTTATTATACACTTCCATCAATTCGTTGTTTTTGTGAATCAATTGTGCTCCAAGAACTCTTTTTTCACTTTGAACAATTTCAAGTTCTTTCTTTTGATGCATGACATCTAGATCGCCTTCTTCAAGGATGTGCTTTAAACTATCATTTTGTAGATTATGGTCATTTATGACAACATCTATTGATTTGATTTTCCATTGGACTTTACAAAGTTCTTCTTTCAATTTTTCTCTTTCTTTTTCAATCTTTTGATGATTCTCATGTTCTTTGATTATAGCAACATCTTTGGATGTGATTTCATCTTTCAAATTCTCAACTAAGTTGTTCATCACTTTAAACTTACGTTTCATTTCACCAATTTCATCATGAGCTTCTATGTACTTTTTGTTATTTACATTCCGCTCTATTTGAATCACTTTGTATAGATTTTGTTGATGTTTGATTTTGGGTTCCCATGCTAATATTTCTTTTTGGATTTTGACATTATTAGTCTCACATTTCAAAAGCTCTTCACATGCATTTATGTGTTTCAATCCATAGGCTTGAAGTTCCATATTCTTTTGGTTGCATTCTTCTTCAAGTTTAAGAATAGTTTCCAATTGTTTTTTAATGTATCCCTGATACTTTGACAATTCAACCTCTAGATTATGAATTCTGACTTGATTAATTTGCATCAAGTCCTGTTGTTTTTCTACAACACCTTTAACTTGAGACTTCATTTTATTCAGAACATCTCTTTCTCTTGCACACTCATCGATGCGCTTTTGTGCATGATTCGTTTTCTTCTTTTGCAATTCAATTTCTTTTTCAATATTTACTTTCTCTTCAATAATATGAGCCTTGTGTTTCTCTAAATCCTCTTTGGCAAACTCAACTTGTTTCAATTTATTGTGTGTATTATTGCAAACCTTATTGATTTTACTAATGTTGTCTTTGCAAGTTTCAATTTCCTCCTCTTTTGCTTTGAGTTCACTTTGTCTTTGACTGTTCTCAAACATCAATTGTGTATTTGTTTTAAGTTGCACTTCTAACTCAATGCTAACTTTAGCTACCTTTTGCAAGACTAAATCAAGCTCCCTTTGAGCTTTGTCAATGAGAGTTCTTTGTTCTTTTAATTTTAGTTCCAATTTGTCAATTTGGTGTTGTGCCTCTTGCATTAAGGCTTGTTTTTTTTTAATCTCTTCTTGCTTATTTTCCATCTCCAAATGCAAACTCTTCATTTCTTTCTCCAATTTTTCTTTCCTTTTTGTTTCTCGATCACATTCTTTTCTTTTCATGATATACTCTTCTTGAAGAAGTGAGGTGCTATGCTCAAGATTAATTTTTTCTAGCTCAATTGCTTGATTCTTATCACTCCATTCATTAAGCACGTTTTTGAGCTCTTGTAGAGCATGCATTTGAGCATCTCTTTCCTTTAAAACATTCATTTTTTCTTTTTCTAAATCTTGAAGTTGCACGTCTTCGGCCATAGCCTCTGTTTGACCACTTTCCACAACTTTGTTCAATTCATCGATTTCCTTCTTAAGAGAATTGATTTTGATATTGTAATTTGATTCTTTGTCTTGAGCATCATCAACCAAAATCCAATTCTTGTCAATATCATTTTTTAGTTGGGCTATGGTGATTTGATGTTGTTCATTTATTTTTTCCACATCTTTCATGGTTTTCTTATTTTTGGCTATTGCTATGGAAAGGTTTTGATGTTGTTGGTGCAATATTTTTTCAAAATTGTGTTGTTTTTGAATTGTGGCATAAAGCATTTCATACTCCTTGCGAAATCCATCCAAAGCCGTTTCTCCTTGGATTTCCGCAAGGAATTCCTTAACATTTTTGTCAAGTGTAGCAAAAGCCCGATCCTCAAAATCACCCATGGATGATGATGCTTCGGGATATAAATCTTGTCTATCATCATTATTCTCCATTTATTCTTATGGGCATTCATTATAAATATTTTTCAAAGTGAATAAACATTATTTTTATTTTATTTTATTTTATTTTTTGGTTCAAATTCTAAGGGAAAAATGAATATCCACTGTATCTTGAATTATGTGTCAAATTCATTTTTGCACCAAAATGCATTAATATGCAAACAATCAATTTTTGACATATACATGTATTTGAATGTTGAAGTGTCGGATCTTTGAACTTGAATTATTATAAATTGTGTTCAATTCTATTAATCTTTGACAATGATTCTCATGAAATATAAGTCATGTAATATGTGTTAATACACAATAATATTCTAAATTCTATCACTTAGAAACTGAACTTTGATACTGACTCAACATACTGATCACAAGTTGTGTAGCACTACAGAATTCGCACATTTATCATTGAAATAAAATACCACTTTTGATCATTTCTCTGATTAATTTAGATTATACCATATATTCAAAGAAAGTTTTTAGGTCAATATTTGAATCATGATCAGATCGAATCCATCATTATTGGTATACAAGAAAACAGAAAAGATAAAATATATTAAATTGTGTTACCCTAAATTTTTAATAAATTGTGCAATATTCATAATTTGATTTTAATCTTTAAAAAAATATAATATATATTATAGGTCAAATTAAAGAAAATCAGATATTACAAAAAGTATATATATCATTAGTTTCAAAATTATCTTGAAAACTAATTATTAGAAAGTTATTGCATTATGATAATTGTGGATTTCATCAATATGTTTATTGATAGTAAAACTTGTTGAATTGCAGATAAGATAGAAAAGTTTAAAAATGATGACAATAATTGTATACATTTTTTTCGAGAAAATAATAATTTTGGGTTTAAACCTTCATAATACAATCAGTAAAATATTATTAACTAGTAATTGACTTCAGTGAAAGTAAATTTAATTTTTTTTTTTAGTGTTCTTAGTATTTTATTTTTTTTATTTTTTTTTCTAACATGATATAAATACGTATGTTTATATGTAAATTTGCCTACCTAGCAGGTAATACACCTGAAAACCAAACCTCACAACTTGACTTCAATGTTAAAAGCTTGTTTTGAAAACAAATATGATCATTTTCAATCAAAATGCTTTTCATAATCTATATTTTCAATAACCCATGTCAAGAAAGAAAAATATTAAAAATTAAAAATTAAAAATACAAAGAGCATGGTAGACCTTGTTATTAGCATGTGGGTATCTTGAACAATAAAGTTGCTTCTCAGGAAATCCACAAGTAACCGAAACTTGACGTGAATGCTGATTCTGAGAAGTGTTTGAATTGAGCCATCGATTGACTGTTGGATTGGTTGAGTTATTTTTATTCCCATTCTTTCTTGCTTCACTGCTAGAATTCTTTGATAATACTAGAGACAAATCATTTCATGACAGGTTGTATGTTTTGTAATATATCATCTATTCTTTTCGAAAACTTTGATGGTTCATTGGAACATACCAATTTCTGATTCTACGATGATTCGCATCATACATGCAGTTACTAATTTTATACGACCACTGCCAAGTAACAACTGCATGTATCTACATGATTGTACATGATAGAAGTCTGCTTTTATCTTCTCAAAATATCAGAAACGTGCAATTCATCTCCTTTTCCCTCCCCAAGCACGAAGTCGAAGTATTTTAACGTTCAAAGGGAGGTGAAGCTTTACTCAAGTTGGTAGTATTGCTGTCAGTGACAAGGATTGAAACTGGATGGTGTATCGGTTTTAGAAGAGGTACCGTGTACGGACAACATGATATGCAGCGGTGAAGATGACCGAAGCAAAGCTTCATTGGAGAAAACATGTCCAACACAAACAAACACTAAAAAGCGTGGTTGAATCCACACAGTGGTTGATAACTAGCCTACCACTTACCAACTGTCTTTTTTACCCAGAACCAACGTATTGTGAACATACCCATCGTAACTAATCCAGCAGAAACTTGCGTATCATACTCTGCCAGAAAATGTTCATCGCGCCACAAAATAAATCAAGAGCTTATTGAAATCATCACACCGTAATTCACAAAGGTTTGCACATTTTGCAGTGTCAGGTGTGTAAGAGATGGGTGTTGTCATTTCTGCATGTGTTATTTCATGCAAAGCAGAGTCTAGACGTAAGGGAAGATGTCTACAAAACACAAGTATTTCTTAAAATATGTACACAGTTCAACACAGTCGTCAGTCACCGAGTGGAAGGACATTCAGGCAACTGAGAGTTGTGACGAAACGAACACAATTCGGATTGAGAATTTCACTGTTTAATTGCTACCTCCAATCGAAAGAAGTAGAAAACCCGGTCACATGTGGTATGCGGTGGTGACATCATTGGCACTCATACCCTCGAGTGAAGCGTTTGCAGCTTGCAGAAGCGATCACGAAGCAAAAGTAATGCAGTATCACCTCTACAGATAAGCCGAACCTCCACATCTCCCAAGATTAAATGATGTTCCGCCGTTACTGTCTGCAAAACACATGTGCTTCTTTATTTGTGGACATTGTGCAATGGTATGTGTTCATGTGAAGGATGGACGCGCCAGATACATCAATTTGACGATCGAATGTCGGCAACAGGATCCTATTGTTCTAGTGACGATTGACGCATTCAATAATTTGCTCGTCTACATTGTCAAATCTCGATACAAAAACGTGCTACGGAAAGAATTAATCGCGCCGATTTTCTTCAGATTGATCAGTTCTCAACCACGAAGACTCCGGATGAAGGGTGAGTGTGCGTGGGCGTTGCGGATCTGCTGCCGGTGCCCTTGGGACTGCCGCTGGATGTTGCAGCCGCGGCGGCGGCCGCGAGGGGGCACACGGAAGATTCGTTCACGTGGCCTAACTGAGTGATGTCTTCCAACAGAAGCACCACTTCTTCCATCTTAGGGCGACTTTCGGGAATTGCATCGGCACATGCCAACGCCAGCTGCAACACCTGCAAAGCCTCCTCTTCAACGAAATTTTCCGCCCTCTTCAGCTCAGGGTCGATCACGTCGGAAGCCCAGCGATCTCTTCCGAAGGACCTGACCCACTTTGGAAGATCAAGTCCGGCGTCATTCTTACAGATCGCTCGCTCCGGTGCCCGTCCGGTCACAAGCTCCAGCATCATTACGCCGAAGCTGTACACGTCCGACTGCATCGTGATTTTGCGAATGTCAGTGACCTCCGGAGCTCGGTATCCGACAAACCGCGAAGGGCCGACGCTGCCGGGGTTCAGAAGATGCACGAGGCCATGGTCGGCGACGAAAGGCTCATAGTCTCTATTTAGTAAGATGTTGGATGACTTGATGTCCCCGTGCGGCATCTTCACACATGGCTTGTCTAAGTAAGCCAACGCCCTTGCTGTGCCTAGGGCGATCTTCTCTCGACTCACCCAGTCCAAAGGATAGCGGCCGCTGAGTTTCGTATCTAGCACATAGACATTAACACACTGAATTATCTTTCAAGTTGTACATCCAAAAACATCACAATACGCAAGTCTGTCAATGGTACCCCTCTGGAATTATACGTAGAAGAAGCAAGAGGAGGTTGATCGCGTATTCAGTTTCAATACCATGCATAAGAGAGTGTAAGCTTCCTGCGGGCATGAAGTCCGTGACAAGCAATTTCTCGTCCCGGGAGAAGTAGTAAGCTCGCAGCGGCATCAAATGTCTGTGCCGCAACCTCCCGAGCTTCTCCACACGAGTTTCAAACTCCTTCTGATCCGCTGCGACGTCCTTGAGCCTCTTCACGATCACAACACTATCTCCATGGAGATCGGCTTTGTACGAAGTACCTATGCTCCCTTTACCAAGCACCTCAGCCGACGCTTGAAGCAACTCGTCCAACCCAAATTCCTCACGCTTCCCTTGGTCTATGAACACAAGCTTGCCGCGGCTAGCGGGTTCGCTGGAAATCGTGATCGCATAGCTTTCATTGAATTCAGTTGGGCCCTGCTCTGGTGATGCACCCTCGCCGTTGAAATGTGTCGCATCTTTCCCTGCGTGAGACTTGTCAAAGTCACCATCGTCACGTCGCGAACGACACACAACGAACACAATAAATACGAGCGCAACGAAGCTGCCCGCTGTAATGCTAGCAATAGATGCAACGCTGAGTTTGAGACGATTTTTTTTCTTAGACGATGCTTCTGCAATTCCTTGAGGCCCATCACCCGACCAAGGTTCGTCAGCTGGTGTAGGAGCCCCCGCGTCGGGTGAGGGAACAGGTGCAGTGAGGGGACAAGGGGTCGCCGTCGGCGGGCCACAGAGCCCATCGTTGCCAGAAAAACTATCAGACGTGAAATTCTGCAGCGCAGGTGGCACAGAACCTTCGAGCTTGTTGTTGGCAACCGAGAACCTCACCAAATTCGCAGCCGACACGGCTGGTAACTTACCCGAGAGGGCATTACCCTGCAAGTCCAACTCGATTAACATTCTGAGCTCAGAGATGGAAGCAGGGATTTCACCCGAGAAATTGTTGAATGCTACGTTGAAATGGGTCAAGCGCGGCCAGACACCAATGAAATCCGGTAAAGAACCCGAAAAGGAGTTGTAACCCAGGAAGATCCCCTGCAGGATGGTGCATCTTGAGAGGTCAACTGGAAACGGGCCCGTGAGGCCATTGTGGTGTAGGCTTAGAACGCGGAGCTGGTCGAGGTCTCCGATAGTGCTTGCAGGGATGAACCCTGTGAGCTTATTTCCGGGGAGGCGTAGCGTTGCCACGCGATTGCCGAAGCATTGCACGCCAACCCAGGTGCAGGGATTGGTGCCAGAGACCCAAGGCAAGAGGTCCCCCGCCGGATCTACCGCAGCCTTGAATCGCTCTAGCGCTGCTCTATCCGTTTCAAGGCTTGGTTGCGCTTGTCCATGCGCGCCAATGAAGGGACCCAAGATTACGAGCACAATGACGCATATATGGAGTAGCCTCCAACCATGCTCGCTAGAGCCCCTTACCTGTTTCCTCTTTCCCATCCTCTTCGGTAACGACATACTCAACAGATAATTCTGGAATACCGCTGTCCAGATGAGGTTCCACTTTGATTTGGTAATTTTACCAAGGAGGGCTTTGCACCACAACCTATGCGGTCGGTTTCTTCCTCTTAGCAGCCATGCTCACGTCTGCAACGAATTTTACCAAGGCGCACGTTAAACTTCAGAATTCGAAACCAAAATGAGTATTATTCATAATGCGAAGTTGCTCATAACACATTGACGAATTCTTGTACACAAAACTGTTTGCCACATTATGTGTGCAGTGCCTTCACCACAACCATGGACACTCAGAAGCAATCCAAAGCCCTGGAATCTAACACAACTGGCGCGGAGTCGTAGATGCAGAACTCCTGTCCCAAAACTAGAAACATTGCAAAATGCGAAGCAAGTGTCGCCAGAGCTAGTAGCTGTCGCAAACTGGAGGTTTACCTGCAAACTTCCGAAAATACACACAGAAGTATTCACCAGTATCACGTACCTGAAAATGTAGTTTCTGAGAAGACATGAGTCACGGTCCAATGCACCCCACAGGCCTACCAGACCCCCGTCGATACTGGTGAGTCGACATGACCTTCTGAAGCCTCCTTGATTCCCCATGAGTAGCCTCGAGTCCAAAGTTCACAGACAAGCCTTCCAAAGTTCTCCGCAGCCCTCTCGACCACACCCATTGGCTAGCCTCGTGTCAACGTCCTCGCGGGGCGCGTGCTAACCTCCAAATTCTTACAACATAAATGTCGAGGTAGATTCCCCGGTTTGTTGCTGCTTTCGAAAGCGCTACAACTGGTCTCGTTCCGGTAACCTCACCTTGTTGCAGCGTTTCGCCCATAGTAAATGCGGTCGTAATCCTGATTAATCCACATGAACTTCCAGCTCTATATATCTTTGTCGTCTCACTGCCCTCTGGGCTTTACAGATAACACAAATTGGGCCAGAGTGGCGACACATAATTCTGGATTGATCATTTACAAGAGCGTGAGTCGCATGGCCCTGTCTCTCACAGTCCCCGACTTCACTGTCCAGATGATGAGCTCACAGTAACTCGTATCGGGAAAGCCGTGTCCGAGCCGCAACCTTGCTGCGCAGCTTCTCCCCATAATTCACGATCACGTCTAATTATAGTGAAAACAAAATAGATTGTTTTTGCAATTAATGCTTCTCAGTGGGCAGTGGGTGGTGTAGTTGTAGATACGGGCTCTTCAGCGATGCGTGGGCTGTTGGGCGGACTTTACGAAAGCTATTTCCTGAAACCAAACAAAACCTCGATTAATTCTCCTTATTTTCCTTTTTTTAGTCTGATTGTTTTTGAGGCCCACATATTGCTGCGGGTAACAGGAACAAGCCATGAATTTTTTGTGTGGATGGATATGGGTGCAATAAGTCTATTTGTAGGTGAGCCTGATGCAATTTGTTTTACTTTTCATTCAGGCTGTTTTCCATCAAATGAGGGCAATTCAAATTCGCGAACAGAATATCAGGGTTTCGGTAGGTTCACCGATTCACCTCACCCAGGAATGGGGAATCCAATCCAGAACAGTATTTGATTCTATCCACGCATGGTATCGACACACAGTAGGTCATTGACAGTGGTTCCTCAAGAGAAAATTGTTGCCATGGTTGTGCAGCAGGATGTTTTCAACCTCAGGCCGATAATGAGTTTCGCTCAGATCAAGTTGGTGTGTGCAGTAGTCCAGGACAATCCAAGTTAGGAGTTGTTCTTCTGGTCTAATTGCGTCTGTTGCTACCCCGGCCCTAATTTTCGAATGACTTCACCCGCGTAGGTTGAACGCCGACGCTCCTCGGGCAACCTTCCAGATGCTTCTATTTATGTTTTTATATTTATATTTATATATACGTTCATTTCGTAGCATTTGATCAACACACACACACACACACACACATATATATATATATATATAGATAGATATATATCCCTAAGTTGACTGGGCTTGGTTCCGGTTGCTGAATTGATGTCAAGATCAATTACTCCATCTTTTCCAAACTTACCTCGAATGTGAGGAAAACAAAATAAAAATATAAAACTCAGTTAATCAGATCCCCTAATCTAGAGCATTTTAAATGGATGACTGGGAGGTCACCACACCGAACGTTCTAATTCGTGTTCGAGAGCTTACTGGAAAGTTGTGACATTAGTTCATAAGATTTCGTCCGGCGATTACTTCCTTCAACTTTCAACCACAGATAGCGATGAAAATCTTGCGTTCATTCTGGATGTAACGGAAAATTTGATCCAAACTGTTATGTAATTGCTTGTTAGCTTCTTCATCGAAAGGCAACTGAACAACCTTGAAAAATTTGCAATTACGCTCCTACATGTGAGAGTCAACATACTAGCACTGTGAAGTTTCCAAGCCTTCCAGTGTATCTTAATTGGACACAGATGACATCATTAAGTTGACTGCAAATACATGAACAGAAAAAATTCAGGTTGTCCACGGACAAGAAAACTATGTAGTGTAGAAATCAGTTGGATCCATCATCCTAGCAAATAAAAATCCCTCATTGATATATGTGGGAAATACCAGACTATTACAGTATACACCTCAGCTGATAAGTAACAAAACTTACAACTATATTCGAAGTGTGGACTGCTATGTTCGATGAGGTGTCTTCAAACTAGCATTTCCATACATATAAACGATCAAGCACTCGAATAGTTTTTAAAAAATCTTGGACTATAGTGTGAAATGCTCAATTGGCTCCAGCAGGAACTCTAACTTGTTCTTCGACGAAGAAATCCTGTAAAGCAATCATCTCCACGGGACTGTCTTTCAAACCGGAAACGGCCTGAAGAGAAGCTAGGGCTCCTGCAATGGTGGTGATGATAGGTACCTTGTAAGCCAAGGCCAATCGCCGCAATTGCCTGCCATCGATTTGATCAAGGGCGTCACCTGAGCTGGTTATGATCATGAGTTGGATGTCTCCGTTGGCTAGCAAGTCAGCTGCATGTGGTCGTCCTTCATGAAGCTTCAACACAGTCTCCACTTCCACGCCAACCTTTTGTAGGTAACTCGCGGTGCCAGTTGTACTTACGATTCTGAAACCAAGGTCCTGAAAACCTTTCGCTATGGGCACAACCTTATCTTTCATCATATCGTTCATGCTAATAAAAACAGTCCCAGTCAGAGGTAGACTCTGATTAGCAGCAATTTGAGCTTTGGCAAAAGCCTTGTCAAAATTTAAGTCAATTCCCATGACTTCACCTGTGCTTCGCATCTCGGGACCCAACAGAACATCACATCCTTGAAACTTGTCGAAGGGTAAAACTGCTTCTTTCACGGACACGTGACGGGGAATGACCTCCTCTGTAAAATTCAGATCAGCTAATGTCTTGCCAGACATCACCAAAGCAGCATACTTGGCCAAAGGATGCCCAATTGCCTTCGAAACAAATGGGACTGTTCGAGACGCACGGGGATTAGCCTCAATAATGTAAACCTCACACTCCGACGTTATGGCGTATTGGCAATTCATCAAACCAACAACGCCAAGTCGACGGGCAAGTTTGGTTGTGTAGTCGCGAATCTTCCCCAATGCCTCGGCCCCAATATTTTGGGAAGGAAGCGTACATGCTGAATCACCAGAATGCACACCAGCCTGTTCAATGTGCTCCATGATCCCTCCAATCACAACATTCCCTTCGGCATCCGTCAGGGAATCTACATCAATTTCAGTGGCATCTATTAAGTACTTGTCCACAAGAACGGGCCTCTCGGGATCAACCTCCACAGCCGTCTCTAGATAAGTCTTCAACTTATCGTCGTTGTAGACGATTTCCATTGCTCTTCCTCCAAGCACGTACGAAGGCCTGACTACAACAGGGTAGCCCACTCTCTTTGCAATTGCTAAAGCGTCATCCTCACTCTTTGCAATTCCACCTGAAGGTGATTTTATTCCAAGATCATTAAGGATAGCATCGAACCTTTTCCTATCCTCCGCTGCATCAATCGAATCCGGAGTCGTCCCCCAGATCTTTACCTTGCCCTCCCCACTAGCAGCATCAGGTTGAAACTTCTCCAGGTATGTTTGAATGGGAACAGCCAACTTCAGTGGTGTCTGACCACCGAACTGAACGATAATACCATCAGGCCTTTCTAAGTCAATCACGTTGCACACATCCTCAGCTGTCAGAGGCTCGAAGTAAAGCCGATCAGAAGTATCGTAATCGGTAGATACGGTCTCTGGGTTCGAGTTCATCATAATGGTTTCAAATCCGGTTTCCTGCACAGCTCCCAAGCTTCCCATCAGATGATCCACATTGTGACTTAGCGCATAATAACTAGGCACACGGCTCAATCATCTGTGGATTGACTATGATACGCATTGGCAGATACCGTCGTATGATTTTGACGGATGCTTCGTGTTACATGTGAAGTTTGAGCTTTCAGGGACACGCACCGCGAGAGAGAAAGCTGCATGGCAGCAACAGTAATCGAACTCAATTCCCTGGCCAATTCTGTTAGGTCCACCTCCAAGAATGAGCACCTTCTTCCGAGTGGTAGGAGCTGACTCGCACTCCGCGTCGTAAGAAGAATACAAGTAAGGGGTATTAGCCTCAAATTCCGCAGCACAGGTGTCCACACGCTTATAAGCAGGTTTCACACCTTGTTCAAGTCGATGAGCACGTACTTCTAATTCTGTAGTCTTTGTGACATAAGCAATCTGTTTGTCACTAAAGCCTCGCCTCTTGACCTCATAGAGGTCGTCTTTGGAGAGATCACTCAACTTGACACTTTCCAAAAACTTTTCTGCTTGCAACAATTCTCTCAGCTGGGAGAGGAACCATGGGTCGATGAAAGTCAGATCCTGGATCTCATCTAGAGACATCCCACGCTTCATGGCAGCATAAAGGGAATACATACGTTCAGGGTTAGGTACACGCAAATTATATTTGATTTTATCCCAGTCCCATTCAAGCTCCTTCACCTTCTCACAGCCCCAGCCACTGTGCCCGGTCTCCAAAGACCTCAAAGCCTTCTGGAAGGACTCCTGAAACGTCCGTCCCATGGCCATGGCTTCACCCACAGACTTCATTTGCGTAGTCAAAATTGGCTGGGAACCAGGGAATTTCTCGAATGCAAATCGCGGAATCTGTACCACTCCAAAGACGGACACAAAACGCGATGAGTCTATCTTCCCATTTCATCATAATAACTCGTTTTTAAATACATGAGAAATACCAAGAATCCTACAAAGCATAGAACTTATTTGGGGGAGAAGGCTGCACCTTAGTAACAACGTAGTCAATGGAGGGCTCAAAACTAGCTGGAGTTTTCTTGGTGATATCATTTGGAATTTGATCCAATGTGTATCCGACTGAAAGTTTTGCTGCCATTTTAGCAATTGGAAAACCAGTCGCTTTGGATGCAAGGGCTGAAGAACGAGACACTCGAGGATTCATCTCAATGACCATGACCTCGCCATCCTTAGGATTCACTGCAAATTGCACGTTTGAACCTCCGCATTCTACACCGATTTCCCGAATGATTGCAACCGATTGATCCTGCATTTCAGTGCAAGCCACAAAAGACCATAACTTAGAGTACGCACGTACACTTCCAATTTCCAAGACATATACAATTACATGCCAAAGCACAACATCACAAAGGAAAAGAAAAAAGGAAACCAACTGCATGAGAACAGATATCGTGTATGCTAAAGACTAGCCTTACCCTCAAGCGTTGATATTCTTTGTCTGTCAACGTTTGAGCAGGTGCCACGGTAATGGAATCTCCAGTGTGTACACCCATGGAGTCGATATTCTCAATTGAACAGATGATCACTACGTTGTCGGCCAAATCTCGCATCACCTCCAACTCGTACTCTTTCCAGCCGAGGAGAGACTTTTCAACCAAAACCTGGAGAGCGTGAAGCACATTATTAATCAACTTGAATTTATTATCCGTCAACGCCGTAAATTCAAGCAGATTCAAAATTCTCGCGTCACAGTAAGCTCTTTAGGTGCAACAGTTACTAAAAGAATAGACAATTTCCCAGGGCACTATGAAACCCTAAACCACTATACAGAATACCATGATATAAACAGAATGTGCACACAACCACCATAGTCGATGCAAATGATGGCTGAAGCATACAACCGCGCTGAAAGAAGTTTCTGTAAAGTCAGACGTGGGATGGTAGCAAGCAAGAGTTAGATACGTTATGACAGCTACATCAGCTCACCTGCGAATTTATACTTGCATTAAGACCAGCTTTGCAAATCGCCTCAAACTCTTCTTTGTTATAGGCAATACCACCACCAGTGCCTCCAAGGGTAAATGCAGGCCGGATAATCAACGGAAACTCACCGATCCGTTCAGCGATTACGAAGCACTCGTCTAAAGTATGAGCGATTCCAGAGGGTGGGGTTTTAACTCCGATCTTAGCCATAGCTTGCTTAAACAAGTCTCTGTCTTCGGCCTTTTGAATAGCATCCAATTTAGCACCTATCAGTTCTACGTTGTACTTGTCAAGCACCCCACTTTCTGCCAAGGCACAGGCAAGATTAAGAGCGGTTTGTCCTCCCATTGTAGGCAAAATCGCATCAGGTCTCTCCTTTTCCAGAACCTTCTCGACCAGTTCAGGGGTCATGGGGGTGATGTATGTGCGATCAGCAGTTTCGGGGTCAGTCATAATTGTTGCAGGATTAGAATTGATAAGAATTACTTCGTACCCTTCTTCCTTCAAAGCTTTGCATGCTTGAGTTCCTGAGTAGTCAAACTCACAGGCTTGGCCGATAACAATGGGACCTGCAATGTCACAGGGCCCCAACCACGTCAATAAAAAGTTTTGGTCACGGATAGATTGTAGAAATGAATTCTAAGAGCCTTGAGTTTATGACAATAATCAGAGTGAGAAGGATTCTCATGGTCAACATCTCGTTCTTAACGACAGTCACTAAACTATGAAATTCTGATGAGATGAAATAAGAACCCCACACAGTAGATTTCCAGCGCTCCATGAGGTCAAAAAAATATTACAATGCGGGCGCAAGCAATTTAATGCTGGCTGTATATGACGATTATTGACAGCTTTACAAATGAGCCATCGAATGATCAACATCCAACGCCAAGAGAAATGAAACGGCAACGTTTCAACGTCAAATGTCTGAACCTAGAGATCTGAGCTCTGTAAAAGAAAAAGGATGCAAAAGGCCAGAATGCCACGAGGGTCTGCAACCAGACCTGCTCCCAAGACGAGGATTTTCCTAAGGTCCTTTCGCTTGCCCTCATTGTGCCCAAGATTGCTCCACGAGGCAAACGGCGCATCCTCAAACGAAGCGGCCATCTCCTTTACCTCTCCGGCAACACTCGCAATCTTCCAATTAATACGCTTGCCACCCGCTGGGTTTTGACCTACAGCACTGCCACTGTAGAAGAACACCTCTGGCACAGGCTCAGGCATTCTGCAAGAGCTGCTGGAGCTTCCTCCCGAAGCAGAGCAGATAGAGGAAGCCCGGCTGGCGCGCCTCGAGAATGTGCAGATTTTTGAGCGGTGACGAAGAGGCACAGCACTTCCCAAGAAAGCTGACTGCAAGGGCGCCATCCTCACCCCCCGGGAAGCATGTGAACGAGCTCCCGTGGACGTCGATGCGATCTCCAGCACTGGCATTGTGGCTGCCACAACCCGATGCCGACAAACCCCTTCCATTTCACTTCGATCCTCGAAAGAAAGGCCTAAAATCTACCTGCACCCAGCTACAAACTCCACGGTTCGCGATCTCTGAACGACGAATGAGCCCAAAAGCGCAATTACTCTCTCTTCTGCTCCGTGTAACTTGCCAGAGTGAAGCGCAGTCCTCTTCCGTCTCTTCCTTCTCCGTCTCCCCCTCTGCAAGCGCAACGATCCACCACACCGCATACGAAGTGGCGCAGGCAAACCAAGTTGGCCACGCCCACTTCAATGCATGCTCAAAATCCTTCCAAGTGGAGAAGAACCCACAGGGCAGATTCCACTCCAAACCCCTCCTTTCCCCTATAAACCCCGCCGGCACCTAAACCTCCGTAACGAAACACAGCACAACACACCACAGGACTCCAATCCAGCGCAGTCTCTCTCTGCCAACCCTCCCTCCCTCTCTTGCGAGCCTGGCCAGGGCCGGGCAGCGACGGGCAGGGCTAGGAAGGGCGGAGCACCAGGAACCGCTGGACGGCGTCCACAGTCCGCAAGCACTCGGGCCACGCCGCAGCTTTTGTCCACGTATGCCAAATGCATTTTGACGTGGCGCCTACGTTGTCCTAAACCGGGCCACGTCAGCAGAAACGATTCCCCCCTTGGGTTCCCGACGAAGACCACGACAACGACGACTTTCGTGACGTGGCGCTCTCCGTCGACGATGAAGTGTAGCGCTCCTGCTCCTCACTTTTTCCCCTTTCCCCTTTCTTTTCATTGTTTTCTTTCCATTGCTGATGCTTCTTCTTTCCGTTCTCGCTGTTCTTTTCCATTTCTTCTTCTTATTCTTTCGTTCGGTTTCTCTTTCCTTCCCTTTTCGCTTTTCCATGCTTATTTTGATGTGTAAGTCTGTGATTTTCATTTATGTTTTTATCTTTTTTTACTTTCCATATCAATCTACGTATATGTATATATGTACGTATTAAAAAATTCCAAAAATATACTTTTTAAATTGGTTAGTTGGGTGGTCAAGATAAATTATTGAATACAATGAAATTTTATGTTTGAATAGGAAACTTACTTCCTCAGAATTAAACAAAAAAAACTCCACCTTGAGAAAAAAAAATAAAGGAGGGATTTTACAAAAGCACTGCTGTTGGCGATCCAATGGACAGGATGAATTAATCTTTTGATCAACAATTGTGCAAAACGTGAGGGGATCCACACAAGACTTTAAAATATTAAATCATAAATAACAAATTCCAGTTTAAAATTTTCAGGTTATTGTTATACAACACATATACACAAATGATACTGAATAAGAATCATGGAACCCAAAAAATTATTGTAGACTTTAAAATTCCGAATTAAATCGAATCAATGAATTTATCTGTTGAAGTAGATTAATGTAGCAATTTTGATATGTTGATCTTAAGAATTAGTTTACTCACATACGAAGTCACAAAAAACAAAACCCTGATTAAGATACCTGACTGGAACTTGAAATAGTTTCCATAACAAGCACATATTTTGCTTTAAAATTCACTGACTACAGTAATTGACATTGTTATGAATTTGGAACGTAAAAATAATATGATACAAATAAAAGTAAGTCATGCTGAAGCAACTAAAAAAGAAGCCATGCCGCTGCTTCTTTTATGTGCTACCAGAAGAAAGAGGGAAAGTAAACAAGTGCATGTGCATATATATATATATATATATATACACACACACATTAATGCTTACCTTGAATTCAAAATGATAACTTTTTAGTTTGTGTGATTTATGCTTATTTTTACCATGATTTTATATGATACTAATTTCTACTCATTCTTAAAAATATCACACTGAATATAGTATATCAAACTAAAAACACACATAATATAACATATTTTTGGATTAATTAATTCACTTCACACTAAAATTTAAAATAAATTTGATTTTGTATCACCAATTTTTAATTAAATTAGAATAGAGTTGAGGTGCCCAATTAAACTTCTCATTGGCTAAACAAGGGAACATGGATGAACAGAAAATGGATGACAGTGGTTGTGGTGCCCAACGACACAATTTTCTGCTAGTCGATAAATATGTTTAGCATCAAACAAACAAAGAAAATCTTATTCCATTAAAGTCCAAGTATTAATCAAGTCTTGGTTTGGCAATTCTGATCTGTCAATTCATTTATTGACACAATGATAGGATATACCCAATGTGCTTTTTTTGTCAAGCATGATGGCAGTTGTGAGATAGAATCATAGTATTATCACATTTTTGTATTTACAAATATCATAAAAGATTATTTTTTTTGTAGTATGTATTATATATTTAAAAATAAATAAATTTAGTGAATTTTGTAATGTTTAAATTTAATTTGATATTAACGTGATGCATCTTAATATTTAATTATTTGAAATGACATAAAATTAACTTCCAAAAATCTCTTCTTAAGTCTACTTTCAAAATCTATTCTCTAATTTGCAAAAAAATCCTAGAATTACCATAGGTGCAAGATTTTGTGCCTTGGGATCTGATATTGACCTAGATTCACAATTGGTCTTCTTTGGGTATCAATTTTTGGTAATTTGAGGTATTTTTTTCTTAAATCTATTGTTAATTTTTTCTTTAAAATACTTATATTATTTACTAGAAGTCTTTTATATAAAAAAAAAGCATTAAGTCTAAATTTTTTATTACATGCCTATCATTTATCCTTATTTTTTTAGTACATTTTTCTACTAGGCTCTTGTGTAATAACATCCTTATTCCTATTTTTTATTGTATAGTCATATTATCATACAACAATGTAATGATAAAAATTTTAAAAATTACAATAGTGAAATGCCAATGTCAAGGACAAGAACTTAATAAAAATAAATAAACAAGTGAGACTTTTCTCAAAGAAAGATGACAAAATAGAAATAACTAAATATCTATATTAAAAAAGAAACTCGAATAGCTATTGCCAAAAGACAAGAAAATTAAAGACCCTTGAAACTAGATTAGAAGCAAGAAAAGAGTTACAAGAGTGAAAAGGGCTTCACTCTTGTCTCTATATATACTATCTAACTAGAGGCTACGCGGCCATGTTCTATAAGACATCTATTATGTATTGACTTTGTAGGACACATGTCTTAATTTACAAGGTAAGTTTTTCTATGTATGAGCCATATACTTAGCTTGGTCTTCAAGCTTATAACATGTGTGGCACATGGCCAACTTATTGATCATATTTCTAAACCAAAAGACAATTAAATACACCTATAAAGTCAAAGCAACATCTATAAAGCTTCTAAGAAGCTTCCATAGAAGATTTTAAAGAATTAACTTATTTTTATCTATTTCTATTTATTTCTACCTATTTATACAGATAATTACTAGCTTACATGCATGTGTGTGTGACATTATCCTTCCTTTTAGGGATGAGTTCTACAAAGAGCAGTCATCATATATTGAAGAAATGTATGATGTGACAAATTGTATTTGCCACATACTCAGATCTTTGTTTTTTTCGAAGATGGTTGATAGAGCCTCTCAACCATCGATAGTGTCTCATATTAGGATAGGAAGACCACCTTGTTATTTGATCGTTGCTGAGGCCTTCATAACTTCCTTCAAATAAAATATTTGGAATACCATCATGAGTTGTTTCTACTTCTAATAAAATTATCAAACATTGGGAGTCTCTTCCAAGGTCGTGATACCAAACACATTGTATCTTGCCATTTATTCAACAAAAAAATATCTCATTCATGAGGAACTTCATCTCAATTGCCTTGTCCTAAAGGTTATGACAATCACAATGTCTCGTCTGGCAGGTCAGCAAATAAAGGCTCTTCAGTCGAATCTGCTAGTTGTTGGTTTTCTATCTCTTTAGCCTCACAACTACAAAGAAGCTACAAATAAGGATTGAAAATAGAATGTTATCTTACCTAGATCTTTTTTCTTTTAAAAAGAAGGTTTTTATCTTGATTTTGATGGATGTCATTGATGAAAAGCTTCTACTGCCTTTGTTACATTTATAAGATTCTTTACTGGCTTTCATGTGTGTTTACTAATATTATATCCGCATCAATGGATAAGATATTCGAATTTATTTCAGCACCGCCTAGAATCTAGAACTTCTTCTATTTTGAATTCTTTATTATTGTCTACTTCTATAGGAGGAGGTAGAGCTCGTCTTCTTCTTGGTATGTCCGCTATCTTGTATGATTCAAGAAGAAACATGTGAAATACTGGATGGATTTTGATTGACTTCGATAGGTGTAAATGATATGCAACTCAATTGATTTGTGTTGAAATAGGAAATGGTCCAAGCCTACAATAGTCCAACTTATCACAAGAATGAATGGTCTTGAAATTACGATGAAGTAACCATACCTTGTCACCTATATAGAATGGTGGTTGTTCCTTTCGATAGATATCCGCATTGATCTTTTATTGTTCATGAATTTCTTTTAACTATGCCTTCATTGTTGTATGTAGCTTTGATAAATGATTTGTCAAATCTTTTGCCACAATATTATCAGCTTTTAAAAAGTCAAAAGTATCAAATCATGGATGATAACCATAACTAGCAAAGAAAGGTGTTTGTTTTGTAGAAGAATATACTATGTTATTATAAGCAAACTTTGCCAATGGCAAAAGAATTGTTAAATCATCTTCTTCGTAGTTGATGGTACATCTTAAATACTGTTCCAAAACATGATTAACATACTCTGTTTGTCCACTAATTTGAGGATGGAATACCAAAGATAGTTTTATATGTACTTTTAGAATCTTAAAAGAGTCCGCTAAAATCTTGATACAAATTGAGTTCTCTTATCTGATATATAATCTTTGGATAATCCATAATAGTGATAGATATTGTCAAGAAAGAGCATAATTATTTCTTCACATGTGATAAATTTTGTACATAGTAAAAAATATGCCATCTTGATAAAACAATCTACTATCACAAATATAGAGTCATAAGAACTTGAGATTGGAAGTTTTGTGATAAAATCCATAGAAACAGAAGACTATGGTTGTTCTGAAATAAGTAATGGTTGAAGAAGTCCGTATGATCAATCACGAGGAGTTTTTGATCTTGAACAAATATCACATGATTGAACAAAGTCTTTCACATCCTTCCACATTTGTCACTACCAAAAATCTCTTAATATAAGCTCCAAAGTCTTATTGTATCCAAAACGTCATGCTGTTAGAAAGTTGTGACATGCTTGAAGAATACATAATTGTGCTTCTCTTTTTGGAATATATAATCGACCTTCAAAATAGAGTAGATTGTTTTTGAACTCAAACTTAGAAGTATCTTGAAGCTTAGAAGAAGGATTCTTGATAGTGTGAACAAGAGGATCAGAAGACATACTTGATTGGATTTGTTTCACAAGAGTTGAATCAACAGTCAATGTTGATTTCAGTACTCGAAGATGAAAAT